TTATTTCATCCTTATATACCGATTTTTATCAAACAACAGCAATTGAACTATCTGTTTTTATTGAGTTAGCATAGTTTTATCTTCCACATGATGACCATCAGCTCTCCTGTTCCTCCTCCTCTTTTGCCTTTTGAAACTCTTGGAATTTAAAAGCAACTCGGTGGAGAGGCCTCTGGAGGCGGCATTGTGATAATAGAGGACCCAGATCTGTGAGGGCCCGATTCTGTAACCCAGCGCTGGACTTCATAGTACTTAGTCCTGGTTTTCTCTAGGGGGAAAATAAAAATTATTTCACATTATGTGGAGGTGCACTATATGGTACCCAATAAGCATCTCATAATTTCAGATTCGTTATATTTAAAATATCATGGTCCTGGTCCCTAGTCGCCATTCCATACAAATTCCTTTTTCCACTTAACTTCGAAAGAGACATTTGGTCATTTAAGAGTCCCCTCTTTTCACTTACAGCTGTAACCCCTTATCCGTCCCCTTGTGCTGGAGTGGCTTGTGTGTTGCTGTGACGCTGGGAGCTATGCCACTGGTGTTTCAGGTGCCAGCAGGGTCCCCCAAGGTGGATAGGTTTCAGCAGAGCTTCCAGACTAAGAACAGCAGATTCTGCCGGGAGCTTTTATTTTGTTTTGTTTTTTGCTTCAGCAATCATGGTGAACTTAATTCAGATGGTGCGTGACCACTGGGTTCATATCCTGGTCCCTATGGGATTTGTCGTTGGATGTTATCTGGACAGAAGGAATGATGAAAAACTGACTGCCTTCCGGAATAAGAGTTTATTATTTAAAAGGTTAGTGGCTACATTCTCTTAAAACAAGCTATTGACTAGTTTTGGGGCATATTCTTCGTACTCTATGTGTCAAGAAGAAGGCTAAGGGATCATTTCCCCCTGACCGCTGCCACACAAGTGGTATTTCCCATGAGTTTTATTTGTTATCTCATCCTTTCGTGGAGCTGTGTGATTACCTCTGCAATAGAATTAGCCTTCAGTTTATGGACAGGTGGTCTCAAACCTTTGCAAGTCCCATTCTTTAGAAAGCAGTGTGCTTTTTACCATGGAAACAATTATTAAACAGCTCACCAAAGCCTCCCTTATGTACTGCTTTGCATGTGCTGTTAGGTGCTATTTGGTGTAAGCTAGTGTCTGGCTCAAATGCTGCTGTCCTTAGGTGCTCTTGAGTTGATTGTTGGCTCGCATCCCCCCAGTGAGACAGTAGAACTAGAGCCGAGTCCTGTGAAATAGCTCCTCTCCTCAGCCTGCACCAAATCTGACAGCAGCTCTCCCTCCCCTTTGCTCTCCTGACCATTTGTTACAGCGGTCACATAGAACACTCACAGGCAGTCACCATCAAATTCGGTTTGCTAGAGAAGTCACAGATTACAATTCAGGTTGAGAAATGATTCGGGATACAGTTCTTCAGTCAGGACCAGCACAGGCAGATCTCACTTTGGCCCTCAGCCCCTCACGCCTCTTGGACCAACCTGGACTCTGCACCCCACTCAGCCAGCAATCCTTGGCCCAAATGCACTGAACTCTCTTA